CGAGCCAATGGCGCCATCGCTAGGGGCCGTGTAGCCACAGGTGGTGGGCTGCTGGTGGGCAAGGCGAGAATCGGGACCGAGGCCTTCTGCACGGTTGCAGGCTGCGTGGGGTGGCTCAGCGGATGTGGCTGGCCATGGCGATACCATTTGCGCTCTAATTTACCACCAACGAGCCATTGGCGCCATCGCTAGAGGCCGTGTAGCCACTGGTGGTGGGCTGCTGGTGGCCAAGGCGAGAATCGGGACCGAGGCCTTCTGCACGGTTGCAGGCTGCGTGGGGTGGCTCAGCGGATGTGGCTGGCCATGGCGATACCATTTGCGCATTAATTTACCACCAACGAGCCAATGGCGCCATCGCTAGGGGCCGTGTAGCCACAGGTGGTGGGCTGCTGGTGGGCAAGGCGAGAATCGGGACCGAGGCCTTCTGCACGGTTGCAGGCCGCGTGGGGTGGCTCAGCGGATGTGGCTGGCCATGGCGATACCATTTGCGCACTAATTTACCACCAACGAGCCATTGGCGCCATCGCTAGGGGCCGTGTAGCCACAGGTGGTGGGCTGCTGGTGGGCAAGGCGAGAATCGGGACCGAGGCCTTCTGCACGGTTGCAGGCTGCGTGGGGTGGCTCAGCGGATGTGGCTGGCCATGGCGATACCATTTGCGCTCTAATTTACCACCAACGAGCCATTGGCGCCATCGCTAGAGGCCGTGTAGCCACTGGTGGTGGGCTGCTGGTGGCCAAGGCGAGAATCGGGACCGAGGCCTTCTGCACGGTTGCAGGCTGCGTGGGGTGGCTCAGCGGATGTGGCTGGCCATGGCGATACCATTTGCGCTCTAATATACCACCAACGAGCCATTGGCGCCATCGCTAGAGGCCGTGTAGCCACTGGTGGTGGGCTGCTGGTGGCCAAGGCGAGAATCGGGACCGAGGCCTTCTGCACGGTTGCAGGCTGCGTGGGGTGGCTCAGCGGATGTGGCTGGCCATGGCGATACCATTTGCGCTCTAATATACCACCAACGAGCCATTGGCGCCATCGCTAGAGGCCGTGTAGCCACTGGTGGTGGGCTGCTGGTGGCCAAGGCGAGAATCGGGACCGAGGCCTTCTGCACGGTTGCAGGCTGCGTGGGGTGGCTCAGCGGATGTGGCTGGCCATGGCGATACCATTTGCGCGCTAATATACCACCAACGAGCCATTGGCGCCATCGCTAGAGGCCGTGTAGCCACTGGTGGTGGGCTGCTGGTGGCCAAGGCGAGAATCGGGACCGAGGCCTTCTGCACGGTTGCAGGCTGCGTGGGGTGGCTCAGCGGATGTGGCTGGCCATGGCGATACCATTTGCGCGCTAATATACCACCAACGAGCCATTGGCGCCATCGCTAGAGGCCGTGTAGCCACTGGTGGTGGGCTGCTGGTGGCCAAGGCGAGAATCGGGACCGAGGCCTTCTGCACGGTTGCAGGCTCCGTGGGGTGGCTCAGCGGATGTGGCTGGCCATGGCGATACCATTTGCGCGCTAATATACCACCAACGAGCCATTGGCGCCATCGCTAGAGGCCGTGTAGCCACTGGTGGTGGGCTGCTGGTGGCCAAGGCGAGAATCGGGACCGAGGCCTTCTGCACGGTTGCAGGCTGCGTGGGGTGGCTCAGCGGATGTGGCTGGGCATGGCGATACCATTTGCGCTCTAATATACCACCAACGAGCCATTGGCGCCATCGCTAGAGGCCGTGTAGCCACTGGTGGTGGGCTGCTGGTGGCCAAGGCGAGAATCGGGACCGAGGCCTTCTGCACGGTTGCAGGCTGCGTGGGGTGGCTCAGCGGATGTGGCTGGCCATGGCGATACCATTTGCGCTCTAATTTACCACCAACGAGCCATTGGCGCCATCGCTAGAGGCCGTGTAGCCACTGGTGGTGGGCTGCTGGTGGCCAAGGCGAGAATCGGGACCGAGGCCTTCTGCACGGTTGCAGGCTGCGTGGGGTGGCTCAGCGGATGTGGCTGGCCATGGCGATACCATTTGCGCGCTAATATACCACCAACGAGCCATTGGCGCCATCGCTAGAGGCCGTGTAGCCACTGGTGGTGGGCTGCTGGTGGCCAAGGCGAGAATCGGGACCGAGGCCTTCTGCACGGTTGCAGGCTGCGTGGGGTGGCTCAGCGGATGTGGCTGGTCATGGCGATACCATTTGCGCGCTAATATACCACCAACGAGCCATTGGCGCCATCGCTAGAGGCCGTGTAGCCACTGGTGGTGGGCTGCTGGTGGCCAAGGCGAGAATCGGGACCGAGGCCTTCTGCACGGTTGCAGGCTGCGTGGGGTGGCTCAGCGGATGTGGCTGGCCATGGCGATACCATTTGCGCACTAATTTACCACGAACGAGCCATTGGCGCCATCGCTAGGGGCCGTGTAGCCACTGGTGGTGGGCTGCTGGTGGCCAAGGCGAGAATCGGGACCGAGGCCTTCTGCACGGTTGCAGGCCGCGTGGGGTGGCTCAGCGGATGTGGCTGGCCATGGCGATACCATTTGCGCTCTAATTTACCACGAACGAGCCATTGGCGCCATCGCTAGGGGCCGTGTAGCCACTGGTGGTGGGCTGCTGGTGGCCAAGGCGAGAATCGGGACCGAGGCCTTCTGCACGGTTGCAGGCCGCGTGGGGTGGCTCAGCGGATGTGGCTGGCCATGGCGATACCATTTGCGCACTAATTTACCACCAACGAGCCAATGGCGCCATCGCTAGGGGCCGTGTAGCCACAGGTGGTGGGCTGCTGGTGGGCAAGGCGAGAATCGGGACCGAGGCCTTCTGCACGGTTGCAGGCCGCGTGGGGTGGCTCAGCGGATGTGGCTGGCCATGGCGATACCATTTGCGCACTAATTTACCACCAACGAGCCAATGGCGCCATCGCTAGGGGCCGTGTAGCCACTGGTGGTGGGCTGCTGGTGGGCAAGGCGAGAATCGGGACCGAGGCCTTCTGCACGGTTGCAGGCTGCGTGGGGTGGCTCAGCGGATGTGGCTGGCCATGGCGATACCATTTGCGCTCTAATTTACCACCAACGAGCCATTGGCGCCATCGCTAGAGGCCGTGTAGCCACTGGTGGTGGGCTGCTGGTGGCCAAGGCGAGAATCGGGACCGAGGCCTTCTGCACGGTTGCAGGCTGCGTAGGGTGGCTCAGCGGATGTGGCTGGCCATGGCGATACCATTTGCGCTCTAATTTACCACCAACGAGCCATTGGCGCCATCGCTAGAGGCCGTGTAGCCACTGCTGGTGGGCTGCTGGTGGCCAAGGCGAGAATCGGGACCGAGGCCTTCTGCACGGTTGCAGGCTGCGTGGGGTGGCTCAGCGGATGTGGCTGGCCATGGCGATACCATTTGCGCTCTAATTTACCACCAACGAGCCAATGGCGCCATCGCTAGAGGCCGTGTAGCCACTGGTGGTGGGCTGCTGGTGGGCAAGGCGAGAATCGGGACCGAGGCCTTCTGCACGGTTGCAGGCTGCGTGGGGTGGCTCAGCGGATGTGGCTGGCCATGGCGATACCATTTGCCCTCTAATTTACCACCAACGAGCCATTGGCGCCATCGCTAGGGGCCGTGTAGCCACTGGTGGTGGGCTGCTGGTGGCCAAGGCGAGAATCGGGACCGAGGCCTTCTGCACGGTTGCAGGCCGCGTGGGGTGGCTCAGCGGATGTGGCTGGCCATGGCGATACCATTTGCGCACTAATTTACCACCAACGAGCCATTGGCGCCATCGCTAGAGGCCGTGTAGCCACTGGTGGTGGGCTGCTGGTGGCCAAGGCGAGAATCGGGACCGAGGCCTTCTGCACGGTTGCAGGCCGCGTGGGGTGGCTCAGCGGATGTGGCTGGCCATGGCGATACCATTTGCGCTCTAATTTACCACCAACGAGCCATTGGCGCCATCGCTAGAGGCCGTGTAGCCACAGGTGGTGGGCTGCTGGTGGCCAAGGCGAGAATCGGGACCGAGGCCTTTTGCACGGTTGCAGGCCGCGTGGGGTGGCTCAGCGGATGTGGCTGGCCATGGCGATACCATTTGCGCACTAATTTACCACCAACGAGCCATTGGCGCCATCGCTAGAGGCCGTGTAGCCACTGGTGGTGGGCTGCTGGTGGCCAAGGCGAGAATCGGGACCGAGGCCTTCTGCACGGTTGCAGGCTGCGTGGGGTGGCTCAGCGGATGTGGCTGGCCATGGCGATACCTTTTGCGCTCTAATTTACCACCAACGAGCCAATGGCGCCATCGCTAGGGGCCGTGTAGCCACTGGTGGTGGGCTGCTGGTGGGCAAGGCGAGAATCGGGACCGAGGCCTTCTACACGGTTGCAGGCTGCGTGGGGTGGCTCAGCGGATGTGGCTGGCCATGGCGATACCATTTGCGCACTAATTTACCACCAACGAGCCATTGGCGCCATCGCTAGAGGCCGTGTAGCCACTGGTGGTGGGCTGCTGGTGGCCAAGGCGAGAATCGGGACCGAGGCCTTCTGCACGGTTGCAGGCTGCGTGGGGTGGCTCAGCGGATGTGGCTGGCCATGGCGATACCATTTGCGCTCTAATTTACCACGAACGAGCCATTGGCGCCATCGCTAGAGGCCGTGTAGCCACTGGTGGTGGGCTGCTGGTGGCCAAGGCGAGAATCGGGACCGAGGCCTTCTGCACGGTTGCAGGCTGCGTGGGGTGGCTCAGCGGATGTGGCTGGCCATGGCGATACCATTTGCGCACTAATTTACCACCAACGAGCCATTGGCGCCATCGCTAGGGGCCGTGTAGCCACTGGTGGTGGGCTGCTGGTGGCCAAGGCGAGAATCGGGACCGAGGCCTTCTGCACGGTTGCAGGCTGCGTGGGGTGGCTCAGCGGATGTGGCTGGCCATGGCGATACCATTTGCGCACTAATTTACCACGAACGAGCCATTGGCGCCATCGCTAGGGGCCGTGTAGCCACTGGTGGTGGGCTGCTGGTGGCCAAGGCGAGAATCGGGACCGAGGCCTTCTGCACGGTTGCAGGCCGCGTGGGGTGGCTCAGCGGATGTGGCTGGCCATGGCGATACCATTTGCGCTCTAATTTACCACGAACGAGCCATTGGCGCCATCGCTAGGGGCCGTGTAGCCACTGGTGGTGGGCTGCTGGTGGCCAAGGCGAGAATCGGGACCGAGGCCTTCTGCACGGTTGCAGGCCGCGTGGGGTGGCTCAGCGGATGTGGCTGGCCATGGCGATACCATTTGCGCACTAATTTACCACGAACGAGCCATTGGCGCCATCGCTAGGGGCCGTGTAGCCAGAGGTGGTGGGCTGCTGGTGGCCAAGGCGAGAATCGGGACCGAGGCCTTCTGCACGGTTGCAGGCCGCGTGGGGTGGCTCAGCGGATGTGGCTGGCCATGGCGATACCATTTGCGCTCTAATTTACCACGAACGAGCCAATGGCGCCATCGCTAGGGGCCGTGTAGCCACAGGTGGTGGGCTGCTGGTGGGCAAGGCGAGAATCGGGACCGAGGCCTTCTGCACGGTTGCAGGCTGCGTGGGGTGGCTCAGCGGATGTGGCTGGCCATGGCGATACCATTTGCGCTCTAATTTACCACCAACGAGCCATTGGCGCCATCGCTAGAGGCCGTGTAGCCACTGGTGGTGGGCTGCTGGTGGCCAAGGCGAGAATCGGGACCGAGGCCTTCTGCACGGTTGCAGGCCGCGTGGGGTGGCTCAGCGGATGTGGCTGGCCATGGCGATACCATTTGCGCTCTAATTTACCACGAACGAGCCATTGGCGCCATCGCTAGAGGCCGTGTAGCCACTGCTGGTGGGCTGCTGGTGGCCAAGGCAAGAATCGGGACCGAGGCCTTCTGCACGGTTGCAGGCTGCGTGGGGTGGCTCAGCGGATGTGGCTGGCCATGGCGATACCATTTGCGCACTAATTGACCGACAACGAGCCATTGGCGCCATCGCTAGGGGCCGTGTAGCCACTGGTGGTGGGCTGCTGGTGGGCAAGGCGAGAATCGGGACCGAGGCCTTCTGCACGGTTGCAGGCCGCGTGGGGTGGCTCAGCGGATGTGGCTGGCCATGGCGATACCATTTGCGCACTAATTTACCACGAACGAGCCATTGGCGCCATCGCTAGGGGCCGTGTAGCCACTGGTGGTGGGCTGCTGGTGGCCAAGGCGAGAATCGGGACCGAGGCCTTCTGCACGGTTGCAGGCCGCGTGGGGTGGCTCAGCGGATGTGGCTGGCCATGGCGATACCATTTGCGCATTAATTTACCACCAACGAGCCATTGGCGCCATCGCTAGAGGCCGTGTAGCCACTGCTGGTGGGCTGCTGGTGGCCAAGGCGAGAATCGGGACCGAGGCCTTCTGCACGGTTGCAGGCCGCGTGGGGTGGCTCAGCGGATGTGGCTGGCCATGGCGATACCATTTGCGCTCTAATTTACCACCAACGAGCCATTGGCGCCATCGCTAGAGGCCGTGTAGCCACTGCTGGTGGGCTGCTGGTGGCCAAGGCAAGAATCGGGACCGAGGCCTTCTGCACGGTTGCAGGCTGCGTGGGGTGGCTCAGCGGATGTGGCTGGCCATGGCGATACCATTTGCGCACTAATTGACCAACAACGAGCCATTGGCGCCATCGCTAGGGGCCGTGTAGCCACTGCTGGTGGGCTGCTGGTGGGCA